ATGAAGCCAAGTACCTCTTTTTGATGTATTCCTTCTTCGAGGAAGATAGTGATATCTTGCCTGAACAATTACTAAGAAAAGGAATGGAGCTTGGCATCTTTTCAGAAATTGAAAATTTTGAACATGCAAGAAATAGGATGTGTCTTCTGTTAGAAACTTTGAAAGATCGTTTCTTGTTATCCCAAGGTTCAAACAGCAATTATGTCAAAATGCCTGATGTGGTCCGTGATGTGGCTATAAATATTGCTTCTGAGTGCAAGCATATTTTTATGGCAAGTCACTTCTGAGATACTCCTCATTTTCTTTCAAGTAAATATTGTACTTACTAAGCTAGTCATGTTTGTTCTTTTGCATTCTCTGTTTCCTGCAGGAACAAAAAACTAGTGATGGCAATGAAGCCGAATCTAGTGAGTGCAGAAGCTAATGTCTGTGACTCCGAAGCTAGGAAGGTAATAAATAAGTACTCGATGAAATAGTTCAAATGTGTAAGTTTGCTTGAACATCACCTGATACCTATTCTGATGGAGGTAACAGGCAGAGGCGGATCTATGATATTGTAACCTAAGAGTTTATATGAGCACAATAGTTTTTACCCAGAGACTTTGTATATTAACTTGAGTTCATTGTAATATGTTGATGTATTTTCTCAATTCTATTTTGTTTTGATTGAAAAGTTACATATTAGTTTAATAGCTCGATGATCAGTGTGCATAACTTGTTTAGGCTCAGACTTTTCATCATCAGACAGACATAAAAATGGCCTTTTAATAAGGTAGAAGTCTAAAGTGCGAATACAGCTAACAGGAGACTGCACCTCGAATGTGTGCTGCTGAGAATTCTACCTCTAAATAAAGTGTCTTGTTTTTTTATCACACTCGTTTTCAAGATAGATAAGAAGTGTGTTAGACTTCAACAAACTCTTCGATCTTGATCTGAAGTGACTCTCCAATTGCATGGGCAAATCGTCATCTGACCAAAATTGAAGTAGCCAATGATCACTTTATGTATCAACTCTTTCCAAGTTTCCAAGTGATGTGCAGTAATATAACATTATTCTATGATTGATTGGAAATATATAGGAACTTTTATTTTTATTTTGGGATAATGCATAAGTACCCCTAGACTATGACCGAAATCCCATAAACACACATAAACTTAACTAGGGTCTTATTATCCCCTAAACTAATTTAAAATGGAATAAATACACCACAAATGTTGACATGACATAGAGAGTGTGCACACTCTCTCGAAGACAAGTGATGAGTGCACAAATTGGACACATGTCATTTTTTGATTGAAAACTTTATAATTAGTTAGTACACATATTCATTGACAATAAAACTTATATATATTTAATTATTTTTATTTCTTTCTTTGTAAAATATTTATTTTAATATCTTTTCACTTTAAACTTTTTTTCTAATTAATATATTATCTTTTCACTTTTAATTATTTTTAAAAAATTATGTGTATTTTTTTTAAAAAAATAATTTAAAAGTGTCCTTAAATTTTAACGTTTTTATTTTTTTATGTTTATTTGATTTTCTTCACTTTTTTTTTATATCCGTTCAAAATTAACTTATTTTAAATATAAGACATTTGAAATCAAATCAAAACAAAAGACAAAGAAAATAAAATCAATAGAAAAATAAAAGAGAAAAAACAATGAATGTAGGTAAAAAAAAAAGTTTCGATACAAGGTAAAAAATAATGTGTATTAATTAATTTAAATACAAGATTAAAAAAAAGAAGATAATTTTAAAAAAAAATTGCAATTTTTAATATTTTTTTAAAAAAAATTAAGAAAAAAATATTAATTTTTTCATAAAAAATAAATTTTAATTAAAAAATAACATTTACACACGTGGCGGGCGAGTGTGTACAAACACAACCAACTTGGGTAGTTGAAGGTGTCACATCAGCACAAAAGGTGCACAAAAATACAAGCTACTGCAAGTTTTTATAGTAATTATTTTATTAAATTATATACCTATTATTTATTTTTAATTATTTTAAATCATTCTCGAAATGTATAAACTAATTTTGGAAAGCTTGTAAAATGAGAAATTATTATTTCTTATCATTATTTTAGCTATTATTAACATTTAGTATGACAACATTTAAAAAAGCAGCCTCCTTTAAATATTAATTATTTCTAAATTAATGTAGCCAAGAATTTGAAATGTTTTGACGTTTTATTTATCTAAACACGCAGAATTTTATTTTTGAACCTGAAACATGTAATTAACCCTTGGGTGAATTATAATTTTATTTTTACTATTTGATTAATTAAATAATTTATAACATTTTAATATATGTTAATTACTAA